TCTTTTTGCTTTAATAAGTACATTTTAATAGTTTGATGAGCTCTTTCAACTATGCCTTGTCCCTGTGGATTGTATGGGATTCCAAGCTTCCAGCTGCCGGCTGATGATTGGCTCACAGTGGCCCCAGCAACATCTAGCTGATTGGCTCCTCTGCAGTGATGTTCATTGGGCTGTTTCCCTGCCCTTCAGACTGCCAGCTGATGGTAACTATTAATAAAGTAACTTCTAATAAGGTTACTATTAATAAAGTAACTTCTAGTAAGGTCACTATTAATAAGGTAACATCTAATAAGGTAACTATTATTAGAAGTTTTTAAAAATTAGCTGTTTGTTAATTTCAAATAGCAGTAACATACCCCTTGTATGTTAACACAAGTAATAACGTTTTCATGAAAAATATTTTCCAAAATAACTGAGAACTTAGAGTGGCATTGTATTGATGCTGTTACAAATCTTTTTCATGTCTGGTTTAATAGATTCTTTCTTGTTTATTTATTTATTTTACTGGGGGATTGAATCTAGGACCTCACATATGTTAGGCAAGTGCTCTAACACTAAACTACATCCCAAGCCCTTTTTTCTGTTAATTTTTTTTCAACCAGGGATTGAACCCAAGGGTCTTTAACCACTGAACCACACCTCAGCCCATTTTATTTTTTAAAATTTTAGTTATAGATGGACCCACTACCTTTATTTTATCTTTATGTGGTGCTGAGGATGTGCCTCACATGTGCTAGGCAAGCACTCTCCCACTGAGCTATACCCATGGCTCTCATTTTATTTTTTATTTTGAGTCAGATTCTCAGTAAGTTGCTTAGGGGCTTTGCCAAGTTGCTAAGGCTGACTTTGAATTTGTGATCATCTGCCTCAGTCTCCCAGGCTGCTGGGATTACAGGTGTGCACCATGTGCCTGGCCTCCCTTTTGTTTTTGAGAGAGTGTCAATAAGTTGTCCAGGATGGTGTCAAACTAGGAATCATCCTGCGTCAGCCTCTGAAGTAGGATTATAGGTGTGCACCACAGTGCCTGACTGTGGAGTCTGATACTGTGTTGTAATAGTACTGCTTTGTAATATGTTGCTTTTTCTTTTTTACAGTGTTGGGATTGAACCCCAGGGTCTTGTCTCTGCTAGGCAAGTGTTTTACCACTGAGCTATATTCCTAGTCCTAAAATGTGGGTTCTCCTTCACCCCCCCTCCCCAGTATTGGGGGCCTTGCAAGTACTTTACTGTTGAGACACATCTTCAGCATCCCCAATATGTTGGTTGTTTTGATTGGAATATCTGAGGGAAATCCTAGGACTTCATGGATCTTTTGAAAGGGTCTTGGGAACCCTCAGTGGTCCTGAGACCACATTTTATCTGTTCATTTTTCAGACATCATCTTTGCTATTACCCTCATTATTTGGTGTCTTCTGTATCCGCAAAGTAATTTTCTAATTTTTTCATGTTCCCTTCTATCCCCCTACCACTCCCTATCTTACATTCTTGTTTGTTTCTGATTTTTTTTTTTCATCAAGCCTTCACTGATAATTCTAGTCACTGATTTTTTTCCTAAAATTTGTTTGCAGGTATGGTTAGTTTTGTATGATTTATAGTTATGTACTCTGTTTTCTTTTTTCAATTGTATTATTGACTCCTTTAAACAAGAATCTATAAAAATTGAGAAGATAAGGCTGGTGGTGTGGTTCAGTGGTAGAATGTGTTTTTACCACGTGATAGGCCATGGGTTCAACTCCCAGCATCCCAAAAAAGAAAATTGTGAAGACAGAAAATAATTTCTCCTTACAAACACATAACTTTGTATAAATATTTGTACTTCAAAGTAGGTAATATTTGTTAGTTGGTAAGAAGGTATTCTCCAGGAAAATAAATATAGATCACAAATTTTCTTTTGGCCTCAAATGGTTTATGGGGAAACTATACTATTTTACTAATTATCTGCTGTATCATAATACTTTTTGTGTGGTAAATTGTACTTTCTGTAAGACAGTGTGTATAACTAAAATCACCTTTTTAGTCCTTTTGACCTTATAAGCTACTTACTGATGGATTTATTTTCTTGCCATTTCAGAAAAAAGCCAAAGGACAAGAGCTGTTTGATCAGATTATGTATCACCTGGACCTTATTGAAAGTGACTATTTTGGTTTGAGATTTATGGATTCTGCACAAGTAGCAGTGAGTAACCTTTGGAAGTTCTCTTAAGGGAATGGAAATGGAAAATTTCTGAGGATGGTCTTAAGTGCTAGAAAGCTACATTTTTTTACTGCATTCTTTATTTCATGTGATTTTCTGAGATCTGAAATTTACCTCTTGCTTTAGAATCACCTGCAGTTCTTGTGAATTCTAGTCTTAAACTGAACTACTAGAGGAAAATCTTTGAAGATGGAACTTAGGATTCTGTTTTTAAAAACCACTGGCTTGGTTTTTGGGCGCACGAGCTTATGAATTACTGTAACAAATGTGTTAAGTTTGTATTTTGTAAATTAAGGTGAGTGGACTAGGATATTTTTTAGTTGTAGATGGACACAATACCTTTATATATGTATATGTGTATATATTATATGTGTGTGTATGTATATATACATATATATTCTTTATTTGTGGTGCTGAGGATCGAATCTAGTACCTCAAATCCCCAGCCCTAAATATTCTTTTTAAATTTTTTTATGTGTATTTTTTAGATGGGGGGAAGTACCAGGGATTGAACTCTGGATTTTGTGTCTGTAAATAGTTGTTCTTTGTACATTGCAGGTGAGAAAATACCATATAACACTAGAAAGTTGGAGGCTGTTCAAAGAATTAAATTCTGTATTAGGATTTCACCAAAGGGTGTTTGAAAGAAAGTAGTATTGGATGGTAAAATTGGAGGGTGGATTAGTGGCCATTTCATCCCATCAGTGTACCAAGATTATGAAATAATTGGCAATTTTTATTCTCTAATAATTGGAATTAAATATTTTTCAATCAGGGAGGTTATGTTTTGCTTCAAAAGGTTTTATGTAGAAAATATTGCATAGGTTTTTTGAGAATGGGTGGAGATTGAAGTCAGGAAGAGTTAATACCAACACGTTTGTGGTATAAGTGAAATATTAAGGTCAAGACAGTAGTAGACAGAGGGAGAAGATAGTTTTGAAGAATTATCTCCTAGAGGTATGGTTTGGAGGAGAATTAAAGGGAAGAGAGAAAGCATGGATGAATTAAGAAATAATTGGTTTTACCTAGGATACCAAATCTTTTTTTGTTTAATCCAAATTAAGTCACTTTTAAAAGATTGAGAGATAATTTACACACTATCCCCTCTCCCTTTCTTTTTTGAGACGAGGTCTCTCTAACTTGCTGAGGATGGCCTCAAACTTATAATCCTTTTGCCTTAGCCTCTAGAGTTGCTGAGATTATAGCTGTGTGTTAGTATATTCAGAGTTTTATAACTATTATCATTATCTAATTCCAGAACATTTTGTCACACCCAAAAGAAACCCTGTATACATTACCAGTCACTCCCAATTCACCTCTCTCCATAGCCTTTGACAAACACTGATGTTTCTGTGTGGATCTGCCTATTTTGAAAATTTTGTGTAAATGATCATATAACCTTTTAAAAATTAAAAAAAAATTTTTTTTGTACTGAGGATTGATCCTAAGTGCTTTACCACTGAGCTATATCCCCAGTCTTTTTATTTTTTTATGTTGAGACAAGATTTTGTTAAATTGCCCATGTAAATTGCCCATGTAGGCCTTGGACAGAGTTGCTGAGATTACAGGTGGGTGCTACCAAACCTGGCTAGTAGTCCCCTGCACTTTTTTTTTTTTTTTTTTTTTTTTTTAGTACTAAGGATGGATCCTAAGGGTGCTTAACCACTGAACCATATCCCCAGCCCTTTAATTTTTATTTTTAGCAGGAGGGTCTTGCAAAGTTGCAGAGGGCCTTGCTAAGCTGCTGAGGTTGGTTTTGAACTTGCTATCCTCCTGCCTCAGTCTCCCAAGCTGCTGATTGGCTAGTAGCCTTTTAAATTTGGAAATGCACTCATAATATTTTCAAGGTTCATCCGTATCTTGTATTTGAATCTCTTAATACTTGATTTCTTCTTATGTCTGAATAATTTTCCATTGTAAATATACCACATTTTGTTTGGGTTTTATTTCTTCTATTGTTTGGCTGTTATAAATAATGCTGCTCTGGACTCTTTTGAACAAGTTTTTTGTGAACATTATTTTCATTTCTGTTGGATATGTACTTGGGAGTGCAATTTGGGGTCATATGGTAACTATTTAATATTTTGAGGAATTGCCAAACTGTTTTCTACTGTGTTCACACCATTCTGTATTGAGGTTTCCAACATGTCAGTTTATTCATGTTTGTGTTTGCTGTTTCTCCATCTACCGAACCCTTCTTCTTCATTTAACTATCTTAGTTTTAGGTGGTTATCTCGTTGTGGTTTTGATTTGAATTTTCCTCATGATTAATGACATGGGCATCTTTTCATGCACTTATCATATATTTGTATATTTTATTTGGAGAAATGTCTATTCACGTCCTTTGTCTCCTTTTTAAGTGGATTGTTTGCCTTTATTACTTTTGAATTATAAGAGTTCTTCATATTTTCTGGTACCAAGTCCTTCTCAGATGTATTATTGGCAAATATTTTCCTTATTTTGTATTTTTCCCCCAACTTTTTTGAGTGTTCTTTGCACAAAAGTGTTTGATTTTAATGGAATCTAATTCATTTACTTTTACTTTGGCTGCTTATGCTGTTAGTGTCCTACCAACAACCTGTGTGTATTATAAGCTTACGATGATTTACATGTACATTTTCTTCTAAAAATTCTATTGTTGCTAGGTGTGATGGTGCACCCCTGTGATCCCAGCAGCTCAGGAGGGTAAGGCAGGAGGATCGTGAGTTCAAAGACGGCCTTAGCAAAAGCGACGTGCTAAGCATCTCATTGAGACCCTGTCTCAAAATAAAATACAAAAAAAGGGGCTGGAGATGTGGCTTGGTGGGTTGCGTGCCCCTGAATTCAATCCCTGGTACTCTCCCCTGCCCTCCCCAAAAGAGAATAACTTTGAATTTTTCACAAAAACTATCGGACTTCTTGCTGCCCAATATTGATTGTTTATAATTTTTGACTAGGAATATTCTGAAATTGGTCATCTTTGTAAATCTTTTTCAGTACTCTGATTTTGCTTCCTTTGTTTTTTAAGTGATGGTGTTGCCAAATTAAATTTCATGTAAGCATATGAGTAGTGATATCATTGCTCTTATCTATACAGTGTTGATTTGTTTCAGCTAATATTTATTTTGCTGTATTATAAGGAGCTATGTTGTGAATAATTTTTTAAAAATATTTTTTAGTTGTAGATAGACACAATACCTTAACATATATACATATATATGTATATATATATAAAGAATATATATATATATATTCTGTATTTGTGGTGCTGAAGATCGAACCTAGTATCTCAAATCTCCAGCCCTAAATATTCTTTTTTAATTTTTTATGTGTATTGTTTTTTTGGGGGGCGGGGAGTACCGGGGATTGAACTCAAGGGCACTCAACCACTAAGCCACACTCCCAACCCTTTTTTTGTATATAATTCATTGTACTTATTATGTCACTTAGTAATTGTGGGTGTAGGAAAGGTAACACTTTGTTCTAATTTGTTCACTAATTTAGTTTTGTTCACTAAGTGTGGTCTAGTGATTTTTGAGATTGGATTTCAGTTTAGGTATTTTATAAGTATAGTGCTGTTTTCACTATAGACAGTGTGCTTAGTGGTGGTTTTGCATGTAGTTGATTGTTTTTGGTTAGATTATAGCAATACCAGGTATTCTGGTTTTGTAGTGCAGATTTTTAACATCTTCTAGAATTGTTTAAGATGTTAAAATTTGTTTTAAAATAATTCTTAAATTCAAAGTATAAGTCCCTACTCACAGAAGAAAAATTTTTGTGCAGAGGCAATTGTTTTGAGAGATGATTAACATTTCACTGATTTTATGCTCTTTGCACTTTGAACAAGGGTAATGATGCATTTCTTTAGTCAGCCCTGCAGGTGTTTAGTAAGCAGGAATCTTTGAAGAGCTGTCTACAGATTATTTGATTTGGAGGGCCTAGGATGAGGATTTGTATATGTACAAATTCCTGTGTAGTTCTTTGGTTTAGTTATTTCTGTTGTGCTTATAATTACATATTCATAACTTTTTTGGGGGTGTACCAGGGATTAAATTCAGGGCACTTAACCACTGAGCCAAATCCCCAACCCCCTTTTTTATTTTTTATTGTATTTATAGAGACAGGGTCTTGCTAAGTTGCTTTAGGGCCTCGCCAAGTTGCTGATCCTCCTGCTTCTGGGTTACAGGCATTCGCCACTGCCCCTGGCTTATTATTCATATCTTAAGACACACAAGTCAACAATTGTTCTTCCATAACTCAATAGGATGGAAAGAAATATGGGTTTCTGTATCCTTTGATATCTATCAATTAAATTTTTAAAAACAGGAAGTTAGAAGGGAATTTGTTTCCTTTTTAAAGTATAGCAAGGAAAGAGAACCTTGTTAGTTTCACACCAAGCACCCAAGAATCTGTATCTGCATCTTCTCACTTTCATCTTCTCACATAATTTAAACTCAACTCCTAAAGACCTTTATTTAAGGAAAATACTATGAGTGCCTATCTGGGAGCTCTGAATTTTCCAGTCCTTGGACATGGAATGTGGAGGGGATGAAAGAAAACAGATTTGAGAATATGCAAACATGAACTCGGACCTTTCCCAGAAGAAAGTCACCCAGAACTCCCCCAGCTCCTGTATCTTTACTGTAAAATGTGTTTGATGCTTTATCTAGAGTCTTAAGGGAGGGCAAATACTAGAAGCTGTTACATGCAGGTAGCCAAGAGGCTGAAATGCCTGCTTGGAAGATAGCTCTAGACCTTTTCCTCACTGGAATGAGTTTATGTGTAATGTGCTTCTTGGTAGGACTGTATGAATTAGTAGAAAGGTGTATTATGAGACTAGTCCTAAATAGTTCTGACCAGGGAAAAAATTTAAGAAAGATTCTAGTATAACTGGTCTATATTAATGTTTTCTTCTTCAAAATTTGTTATGTCAAAGTTTATATTTAGCCTTTTTGATTTTTCAGGGAGGGCATTGTTCTGCCCCCTCCCCTCCTTTTGAAGTGTTGGGTATCAAACCCAGGGCCTTACACGTGCTTGTCGAGCATTGTATCACTTAACCACATCCCTAGCCCCTTCATGCACTGTTATAATGTTCTTCACTCTTTACTGGTTCTTATCCTTTTAATAATGTATTTAGTACTAGGGTTGAACCCACGGGCACTTTACCACTGAGCTACATTCCCAGCCCCTTTTATTTTTTTTATTTTGAGACACAGTCTCACTAAATTGATGAGGCTGGCCTTCAACCTGTGTTCTTCTTGACTCAGCCTCATGAGCCACTGGGATTATAGGCATGTGCTACTGTGCCTGGCTTAACCCACATATGTTTTAAAATATTTTTTTCTTTCCTGTTTGAAGAAACAGAAAAATCAATAACACTGCAGTGGGGTGTATGTCCAATTTGGGGAACAGGGTTGTGTGAGGGGACTGTTGGCCTTGTACTTTTTACCACATATTTAATCTTAGGCAATATCCATATATCAATTTTATTGCTATATAAAATATTAAAGGGGTTTGTGGTTATTGTTTTAAGTAATGTTTATTATAGAGTAAGAAAACACAAAGAAGAAAAAAATCATCAGCATCTTAATTAACCTAGAGATAACATCTCTGTTATATTGTCTCAGCCTGAAAGAAAATTCATGTTTAAATATACAGTTTTTTGGGCTGGGGCTGGGGCTCAAGCTGTAGTGCGCTCACCTGGCATGCGTGCAGCCCGGCTTCGATCCTCAGCACCACATACAAACAAAGATGTGTCCGCCGAAAACTAAAAAATAAATATTAAAAAATTCTCTCTCTTAAAAATAAAAAAATATACAGTTTTGTACAGTTTGGCAAAAAAATTTATGTTTTGTGATATACTAGTTATATTAAAAAAAGTTATCTTCCAGATCTTAAGTGTTAACCTTCATTCTTTTTAATTGCTGCATGTTGCTCTAGCATATTTAAATACTTTATTTTACTCATTATTATTGTATATATAGATTGTTTCAACTTTATCTAATTTCTTGTAGGTAGATCTATACACATACATTATGATTTTAGGTGTAGAATTGCTGGATCAAGTACACATAGATACTTTTGAGACATTAGCTACTGTCCAGCCAGATTCCCCCCTCCTGGAAGGATTGTGCTTATTTGCACTCATTATGGTGTATGAGAATCTCCCTAACCAAGGCTACATCAGACGGTATCCAGGTGACTAGCCTACAGTCTTAGTGTTTTCAGTGTAAGATAAAGGATAAAGCCTGAAAACAGAGCAATTCCCATATCCATGGTTTTTTGGAGAAAACATTCTGAGCATGAAAACTAGTTTTATTTCATACCCAGTATGTGATTGGCATTAGTTAGGTTGTAGTGGGTTTTGGGGGATGCTTACATCTGGGATTTTTGGATTTTGGCTTTTTGATTAGGGATGGGTGTACTAATTGCTGTTCTAGGTTCAAGTTCTCTACTAATAGATTGATGTATGTTCAGCCTACTGGCAGGACTAATGTTTTGTTAATATGGAGAGATGTTTCAACTGAACATTTAGTAGATTGAAATATTAAAAATTAGAGATGCCCAAGTAGCCTACATACTTGGAATCCAAAGAAACTTTGGACAGAATTTAATTGCCTTTTGAAATGTTTACTGAACATCATATTTCAAGGTAGAAAAGCACTCTTCTGGCATACTGGTGGTTCTTTGAATTTCACTTTTGGATTTGGGAAGGGAATGGAAAGAAAGAGTAAACTAGGCACATAATTGGCAAGGAGAGCAAATAATTACAACTCTTAACAATGCAGCCTTGTTTACTCTTTGCCTATCTGGATTCTGAAACTGGATTCCTTGGCTCTGTGAACTACTTAGCACAAGAACACTCCTTTCCTTTACAGTACTTGAAATTAAAAACATGCTGAAGAGAACTCAGTCACGTATTTCTTAGATGAGTACATACTGTCACTGTTAGGACTTTGTAGTGTAAAGGTTTAATAATGGGAAATGAGCTGGGAATGGTTTGTCAGTAGAAGTTTCTGGAATGGGTTTTTAGGTTTGTTTGTGTTATGGCGTTTTACGGTGAAGAGGTTATTTATGTAAATCAGAAGGTTCTTGCAACGAGGAATCTGCTAGAGTGTTAAACATTTATTTATTTATAAAGCAAATGAACAATGAGTGCTTCATTTAATGAGCAATTTACTGAGTAATTCATTGAATTACTTTAGTTATAAGAAAAATATTTTAACTTACAGGGTTTTTTTTTTTCAAAGAATATTTTTGAGTAGTATTGTAAAACTTATCTGTTTTGTGAAACTTAGGTGACATTGTTGTTTCATTTAATTCTTAGGATCTGCCAGTAAATCTATTTTTTTTTAAAGGATTAACCAGGCATTGAAATATGAGGGTCCTTTTCTTTCTAATTTTAACAGTTTTGAAAGATTCATTTATTTGGGAGCAGTGAGGAAAATTAAGGGCAAACTTCAACTCTCAAGCTTGTTAATACAGGACTAGAGGAAATGTTTTAACAAGTCACATCAGGTTTTAGATCTTTTATTTGTATATGAGATAAGCTTGCTATGAATATTGAGATCTAAAATCTCTCTCTCCTGTTCTTTTTTTTCTTTCATTTTCACTCATTGGTTTTTCCCTGGGTAAATATTTCATTGTGGTTCTCAACAAAGTCCTGATGAAAAAATCTTTTAATTAAAATTGTAAACTTCTGTCATCTGCTTATACTGAATTATTTCATCTGTTTTCAGCACTGGTTGGATGGCACAAAAAGCATCAAAAAGCAAGTGAAAAGTAAGTGTTTTTAAAATTGCAGAAAAGTGGAAATCAACTGTATTAGAAACTCTTATTATAAAGATATTAAAAGTCTTTTTTTTTTTTTCTGTACTGGGGGTTGAACCCAGGGGTGCTCCAACCACTGAGCTATAATCTTCTTTAATTTTATTTTGAGAAAGGATCTTGCTAAACTGCTGAGGTGGCCTCAAATTTGTGATCCTCCTGCCTCAGTCTCCTGACTTGGTTAATCTGTAGTCTTCTATTCTTGAGATGACAGGTGTTCATAATAATACTATGTTATAGTTAGTTCTTAAAAAAAAATCTGATCTTTTTGTGTCAAGTTTAAGACTGTGGCAAACTTTAAATAATATCACAGGCACCTGTTATTGCCTGTCCAATTCCAGTATATTTTCAGCAAATTTACTAGCTGAAATTATTTCTGTTTGTTTATTTTTGCTGCACTGGATGTTGAACCCAGGAGCTACCTCCTCAGCCCTTTTTTTGTTTTGTTTTGAGACATATCACACCAAGTTACCGACTTAGCTTGAATTTGGAATCCTCCTACCTCAGTGTCCTGAGTAGGTGGAATTATAGGCATGCACCACCATACCTGTCTTGAAAATTATTAAATAGTGAAATAAAAATAATAATAATAAAAGTCAAAACTTTTTTCTTTCTTTTATAATTGCAGTTGGTTCACCATATTGTCTGCATCTTCGAGTTAAGTTTTATTCCTCAGAACCAAATAATCTTCGTGAAGAGCTAACCCGGTAAGACCACTATGTGGAGTTGTATTTTTTTTCTTTTAATATTTTTAGTTGTAGATGAACATACCTTTTCAAATATTATTTATTTTTGAATACAATACCTTTATTTTATTTATTTTTATGTGGTATTAAAGATCAAAACCAGTACCTCACACATGATAGGCAAGTGCTCTACCACTGAGCCACAGCACCATCCCCTTATATAGGGTTATTTTGATGGTATTGGAAAAATGTCTTAGGATTCTTTCTAGTTTATATAAAACTAATGAAATGGATCCCTTGGTAACAAAACCTTAGACAGTAGAATTTTATTATGGAACAACGTTTTTAATGCATATGATTTTTTTCTGCTTATTTATTGGCTTCCAGAGTAGGCTTTTGAAATAGCTGATTCCCGAGCATCCTCCAAAGGCAACTATAGAAAATTCTTTTTTTATGTACTGTTTTCAATACATTGCAATATTGTGTTTATTGACTTTGAAAATAATCTATCTTTGGTCATTGGGGGTTTAGTCAAGTTGGTGCCTGACTTTCTTTTGTTTTTTATGGTACTGGGGATTGAACTCAATGCCTCAGCCTTGTTTGGGTGCTAGGTAAGTGCTCTACTACTGAGCTACATCTGCAGCCCTTTTTTATTTTTTGTTTTGAGACAGGATCTCCCTAAATTGCTTTGAGTTTGTGATCCTCCTGCCTCAGCCTCCTGAGTCATAGGGATTACAGGCCTATATCACAATGCCTGGGTGGCTTCTTTCTTTGCTTATTCATTAAGATGCCATTGATGAATGAAAATGTTAGATCCTGAGTTAGTTTGAATAGTTTTGAACAAACTTTAGGTTATATACACTTCATTTTATTCTGCCTTCTTAATATTGATTTATTGACTCTATTGACTCTATTATACTGTTGTATAAACAGTGAGATTATAGCTATTATTCAGAGTCATGCCCATGTCTGTATCCCTTCAGATATGAGGTGGATATGTTGTCACAGAACCCATTCTTTTTTAAAATTTTTTTATTTTTTGCCAGGGATTGAACTCGGGGGCATTCCACCACTGAGTCACACCTCATCCCTGTTTCGTATTTTATTTAAAAACAGGGCCTCACTGAATTGCTTAGTGCCTCGCCATTGCTGAGGCTGTTTGAACTCCTGCCTTAGCCTCTCCAGCAGCTGGGATTGCAGTGATGTACCACTGTGCCCAGCCTCAGAGCCCATTCTTTTTTTTTTTTTTTTTTTTAGAGGGTTGTTAAGAGGGGTGGGGGGGAGAGAGAGAATTTTAATATTTATTTTTTTAGTTTTCGGCGGACACAACATCTTTGTGTGTGGTGCTGAGGATCGAACCCGGGCTGCACGCATGCCAGGCGAACACGCTACCGCCTGAGCCACATCCCCAGCCCTCTTTTTGTAACATACATTTTTTTAGTTGTAGTTGGACGCAACACATTTATTTATTTATTTATTTATTTATTTATTTATTTATTTATTTATGTGTCTATCTTATCTATCTATTTATTTATTTATGGTGCTGGAGCTTGAACCCAGTGCTTCACACATGCTGGGCAAGCACTGTATCACTGAGCCACAACCAAGCCTCCAGAGCCCATTCTTTTTTTAACATTTCTTTTTTTTTTTTTTTTTAAAGAGAGAGAGACAGAGACAGAGAATTTTAATATTTATTTTTTAGTTATCGGCAGACACAACATCTTTGTTTGTATGTGGTGCTGAGGATTGAACCCGGGCCGCATGCATACCATGCGAGTGCGCTACTGCTTGAGCCACATCCCCAACCTTTTTAAATATTTTATTGTGGGTAAAATTCTAGAATTAAGAGTGTTCTCAAATTCGGATGGATTTTTTTTTCAGAGTAGTTTGTTACATTTAGTTAAATTTCTGCCTTTTATCTTTTCTTAGGTATTTATTTGTTCTTCAGTTAAAACAAGATATTCTCAGTGGAAAGTAAGTATTAGTTACTTAGTAATAATAACTGTACATTTTTATGAGTAGTCAAACAATGATTTTCAAAATAAGTTTATAATTATGAAAAGGAAATAGTTAACATAATATATGTATTATTTTCTTAAAGTGATGGCTAAAATGAACCTTAAAATGTAGGTTATGAAATTGACAACAAATTTCTATTTTGTTCTTAGATTAGAATGTCCTTTTGATACAGCAGTACAATTGGCAGCTTATAATCTGCAAGGTAAGTAAGCAGTTCCTGTGCTTACTCTTAAGACTAAAGCGTGATTCTTTTTTGTTTTTAGTGAAAGAATTTCAAGAGTATAATCATGTGTAAGAAAAGAATGTTGTTTTTGTTTAAACTTGTCAGTGTCCAACTCTGACTTTTATTTTCATTTGTTTTAGAGGATTATCTTCTTTTTATTTCCTTTCATTTCTTTGCCCCTTTCCATCTATATTGTTGTCAAATAACAGTTACAGTCTGACAGTGTAATAAATATCATGATTGGGACCTAAGCTGTTTTTTTTCCCTCCTTAAAAAGAATGCAGTGATACACGAATAAGTTATTGTTATAGCTGCTAGCTTTGGTGTATTTAGTTTTATTCTTTGTTGTTGATTTCTTTTGGTACTGGAGATTTAACCTAGGGATGCTCTACCACTAAAGCTACATCCCCATCCTCCCCCTTTTAAAAATATTTTTTAGTTGTCAGTGGACCTTTATTTTATTTATTTATATGCGGGTCTGAGAATTGAATTCATTGCCTCACACATGCTAGGCAAGAGCTCTAACACTGAGCCACAACCCCAGCTCCATCCTTATCCGTTTTTATTATCTGAGACCTGGTCTTGCTAGGTTATTGAGGCTAGACTTGAACTTGGGATTCTCTTGCCTCACTGTCCCTCACAGTGGAACATGCTGGAATTACAGGCATGTTCCACTGCATTAGACTCTTTAATCTTAAAAATGAATCCGTGAAGGAATTGTTTAGAGTATACTTAAAGTCTCCTGTTGAGCTGGGCACAGTGGTGCATGCCTGTAATCTGAGCTGCTTGGGAGACTGAGGCAAGAGAATCCAGAATTCAAAGCCAGCCTCAGCCACAGCAAAGTGCTAAGCAACTAAGTCAGTGAGACTCTGTCTGTAAATAAAACACAAAAAGGAGCTGGGATGTGGCTCAGTGGTTGAGTATCCCCAAGTTCAATTCTCGGTATCTACCTCCCCATCCCAAAAAAGCTCCTGATGGTCATTTTATAAAGTATTCTCTTAATTCTAATAAATGAGAATGAAAAGCTTATTTTTGTACCTTGCTACATTGATTAAACAGTACTAAGCTTAAGAAGTCTCTTCTAAAAGGCTGGGATATATAGCTCAGTTGGTGTAGAGTGCTTGCCTCACACGCACAAGGCCCTGGGTTCTATCCCCCAGCACCAGGAAAAAAAAAAAAAAAAGAATTCTTTTTTTTTTTTAAGACATTATTAAAGAATATAAAAAAAAAATTTAGTCTTTCCCAAGGCGAAAGGAAATACTTTGCTAGCAACATCTTTATACATACTAAAAGAAAAAAAATAGTACTTAATGATGATGATCAAGACTAGTTCTATGCTTTTTTAGTGTTCCGTAGTCCCTAAGATCAGTAGTATTTATTTGCCATTGTGTAGATAATAGTACTAATTTTTTTAATGTCCTATGGTAAACTTAATGTTTGCCCATTTGTGCATTCATTATTGAAGAAAGCACATTTTCCCATTGATTTGGGGATTGGTAATGAAATTTTTGCATTTCAGAAATTTTTCATTAATGTAAATTTTTATTGTCCTGCATCTTTTTACGATTCTACTCTATCTCCAAATTAAAACTAGTGTTCTCAACTACATAATATCAGATAGATGCTGGTTTGGAAATGCTGCTATTAATGATAAGAAAAGTTTAGTTGCCCATTTATTTTTATGCTGCTAGGGGTGGAATCCAAGGCCTTATGCATGCTAGGCAAGTACACTGAGCTACACCCCTCACCCACAAATATTTTATTGAAAGCACACTTATATTTCATTATTTCTATATAAGATTGTTAATTCTAAAAGCTTTGATACACTGTTAAAGCTGTCATTTTCAGAATGTTATACTATTTGTTGCCTCATATATTCTTTTTATATCTCATTCTGTAAGTTTTATGACAACCAGAGTACACGCTTCTTTTTTAAATTTTTTTTAGATACACATGACAGTGTATTTTGACATATACACATGGAATATGGTATGTGCTTCTTGAAAATAGGGTTGAAGAAAACATTTTTTAAAATTTTTTGATTTATTTTTTTGTTATAACTGGACACAATATCTATTTATTTATTTTTATGTGGTGCTGAGGATTGAATCCAGGACCTCTCACAAGTGCTAGGCGAGCACTCTACCACAGAGCCACAATCCCAGCTCCCCTTTTTAATTTTAACATAACTTGAGTCACAGTAGTGATCAGTAAATACATGCCCTGTGTGGAATAGAAACTCAATAGAAAATGAGTGGTTACCATTGTTATTTAATATGTCGAGATACTTCATATATATATATATATAATCTCCACAACTAGACTTAGTAGAATGAAAAAATTTTAACTTTCTAATACAAGTGAAATATTCTTTTAAAAGAACAGGTCAAAAATATAGAAAACTCTGATATGGTATTTTTCTTTTCTCCCCAAACCAACAAGTTCAGAAAAGCACAGATGAGTATGTAAATGTTTATGCACTGCTCTTTTTCTTCTCCCTCTCCCAACTTTATTTTCATTAATTCTGAGTTATTGTTTTTTTTTCCCCTGGTACTGGGGATTGAACTCAAGGGCACTCAGCCACTGAGCCACATCCCCAGCCCTTTTTTGTATTTATTTAGAGACGGGGTCTCACTGAGTTTCTTGGTGCCTCGCTGTTGCTGAGGCTGTCTTTGAACTCGAGATCCTCCTGCTTCAGCCTTCTGACTGCTGGGATTACAGGCATGTGCCACCATGCCCAACCTGTTACTTCTTTAGGATTAATATTTTTACATCCTAAGAACACAGGGACTATACCTTACAATGTTACATGGTATTGTGTTCTGTGACATTACTTTGATTCTTTATAGATACCAGCTAAATGTTTTTTTGAGAATTGCTAATTTACTCATTATCAAGTCAAGATTGTTCTATGTAAGTCTAGAAAGTAATTTTCAAAGCTAAGCATTAGTAGAATAAATAAATAAATTTTAAAAAAGCTAAGCATTAGACTATGAATAAATGAAAAGAAAAATATGCCTGTAATTCCGGTGACTTGGGAAGTTGAGTCAGGAGTTGAGTCAGTCTGAGGCCAGCCTCAGCCACTTGGTGATATCCTGTCTCAAAGGATTGGAGATATAGCTCAGTGGTAAAGTACCCCTTGGTTTAATCCCCAGTATCCCTCCACCATCAACAACAGAAAATCTGAGTGTGGTGGTGTCCGCCTATAATTCTAGTTATTCAAAGGCTAAGGTAGAGAGGATATCAAGTTTGAGGCCAGCCTCAGGTGAGACCTTTAGCAACCTAGCAAGACCTTGACTCACAAAGGACTAGGGATGTAGCTCAGTGGTTAAGTGTCCCTGGGTTCAATCCCTAGTACCAAAAAGAAAGAAAGAAGAAATATGAAGAAAGGAAGAAGAGAGGGAGGGAGGGAGGAAATGTTTGTGTACAGACTGGTAAAAGAATCTAATCTCCCCAACAATTTTTTATAAAACAGATTTTGAAGAAGGATTCTGCAGGAAATTTAATTAGTATTAACACGATGTAATTTTGTGTAACTTATGTTTGTAGCTGAACTCGGTGACTATGATCTTGCTGAACACAGTCCTGAACTTGTCTCTGAGTTCAGGTTTGTGCCCATTCAGACTGAAGAAATGGAACTGGCTATTTTTGAGAAATGGAAAGAATACAGGTACTTGACATTTGATCACACTTTTTTAACATCACCACAATAGTTATTTCATACCAGTTTTCTTCTTTGATAGAGTTTCATTTTATATTATTATTTTAAAAGTTATATTTTAATTTTTAGAGGTCAGACACCAGCACAAGCTGAAACCAATTATCTGAATAAAGCCAAATGGCTAGAAATGTATGGGGTTGACATGCATGTGGTCAAGGTAAGCATTATGTTGTGGTGCCTTTAAAAAAATTTGGTTCCTTTGGAACTTAAGGTGATTATGAATTTTATATATAGGCGAGAGCATGGAGTTTACATATGCTAGCTAGCAAAGGATACTTTTGGATAGAGGTACGATTTTAAAACAAGGTTGAGATTAAATACTGAATGACTGGAATTGCATAGGACAATTCATAAGAAAGAAGAAAAAAATTTAAAAGAAGTATATAGGTGTTTCTAAGCTCTTAATATTTTTAGCTGGGAAAAATTGCTGTTTTTAAGATTTTTAAACCACTTTTTTTTTTTTTTTACTTCATATTATGCCACTTAATTTCATTACTCAGTAGGCTCTGTTAAAATAATTAAGGAAGTGAAGTTGAAAAATATAGGTTGAGGTGCTGGTGCTATAGTTCAGTGATAGAGCACTTGCCTCACACATATGAGGCACTGGATCCTCAGCACCACATAAAAATAAAGATATCATGACCATCTACAACTAAAAATAAATAAATAAAACAAATTATTTTTTTAAAAGTATATAAAAAAAAGAAAATATAACTTGAGAGGTCTTTGATAAAATATAAACAATAGTGATTTGTGTTATTTCTAGGTAAATTAGCAACATTTCGAAATTTGTCATTTAAGTGGCAGGTAGAATATAGGAGGACCCTGGAAAGAGCTTTCTTCATATTGGGAGTTTAACTACTCACTCTCATTGAAGACATGCCTTACAATTTCGGTAATTGTTTACCCGTGGTTTTGCTTTCTTCAGTTTCATTTATCCATGATCAACCAAGTTCCAAAAATATTACATAGAAATTTTCCCAACTAATAAGATACAGTTTGAGAGAAGAGACCATATAACTTTTATTACAGCATATTAAAATTGTTCCATTATTGTTAACCTCTTATTGTGCTTAATTTATAAATGAAATTTTATAATAAGTATATATGTATTGGAAAAAAGCGTAGCAATTTTAGCACTAGGTACTGTGCGTGATTTTAGGAATCTTCTGGGAACTTCAGAACATAGCCCCTGTGGATAAATGGGATTACTGTGTAGTATTTCAGACACTGTATGTATGCATGGATTTTCCAGAGAATGGATTTGGATATGCTAATTGTTGAAAACATCTTTCATATTAATATTAGCTGTATGGATGTAATTAATATATTCAGCATGAAAATAAAATTGAACAGTTACATGAAAATGTGAAACCTGTTTTAGGCAAATAGAACTAACACATTTTTTCTTGTTAAATTAGGCTAGAGATGGGAATGACTATAGTTTGGGACTGACCCCAACAGGAGTCCTTGTTTTTGAAGGAGACACCAAGATTGGCTTATTTTTTTGGTAAGCAGAGTTACAGTTCACAGATACTTACTGTTTTGTTTTTAATGAGTAAAATTATTTAAATTTTTTTTTTTTTTTTTTTTTTTTGTAGTGGGAATTGAACCCCGGAACACTTGACCCCTGAGCTATATCCTCAGTCCTTTTGATTTTTTTAAATTTTGAGACAGGGTCTCATTAGGTTACTAAGGATTTTGCTAAATTACCGAGGCTGGCCTTGGTCATGGGATCTTCTTGCCTTAGCCTCTCAGGTCTCTGGGATCACACAGACATGCATCACCATGCCCAGCTAACAAAAACATTTATGTCAGATGAATACATGAAATATAGTTGGAAAATCACGTAGTTCTAAAAAGTTTGTAAATGAAAAGCAACTGTCTTCTTTCATCACCTTTTTTTTTTTTTTTTTTTTGTGGTGCTGAGGATTGGGCCTCTGAGCTACATCCCTAGCCCTTTTTTCTAGCTGTATTCTCTATTAGTTTCAAAGTGTGTCAAAGTATGTTTTAATATTATATATTTTTGTATTTATTTAATGTTTTTCATGGGCACTCCTTCCCTTTATGCTGCTGTATTACTATTTTTATTTTTAAGGGTTTAGTTTGTTTTTTGTTCTGTAGACATACTCTTTACCCTTTCTTATGTAAGAGGGAGGGGAGCTGTTAGTACTTTTACCCCTTCTTTTAAACTTGGTTCATTTTTCTGTGTTCTCACTTTTATCATCCATACTTTACATTTTACTTTTACATCAAGGATAGATTTTATGGATTTTATAACCATTAGTCTTTCAGGTTTTATCTGGTGTTCTAAAAGCTTAAAAATCAGGAAATAGTGTTTACATTATTATGTCACAACTTGTACCATGCTTAGAAGTGTACTGGTGTTATAGACATGAGTCAAAGGTGACTCATGTGTATTGGCCTCTCTGTTATTTGATTTTTTAAAAGAGTTTTTGTAGTTATAGATGAACAGCATGCCTTTATTTATTTTTATGTGGTGCTAAGGATCAAACCCAGTGCAAGCACTCTGCCACTGAGCTACAGCCCCAGCCCTGTTATTTGATTCTTTTTTTAATATTTATGTTTTAGTTGTAGTTGGACATATTACCTTTATTTCATTTATTTAGTTTTATGTGGTGCTGAGGCTCGAACCCAGGGTCTCACAAGTGGGAGGCAAGCGCTCTACTGCTGAGCCACAACACCAGCCTCTTGATTCTTTGATGTTATTGAATTCTTTACGTTAGGCCAGAACAAGGTCTGGGGATGTGGTTTGGTAGCCAAGTATCTGGGATCAATTCCCAGGACCAAAAACAAAAACAAAATAGGCCAGAATAGTTAGCTCACAGCCCTCTACTTAAACTGAAATGTACATTCAGGTCTTCCTTGTAGGGATTTTCTTGAGATTTGAGTGGAACATCTTTACAATCTTACCTTGATGGATGAAGAAGCTGGAGCATTTATCTTTTCAGTCCTTGGTTGTTAATTCTTTGGAATTTGGCTTGCTTTGAAACATGCCTTGTGGCCTGAGGATACTCTAAGGCAGAGAGAAAAAGAGGCCACCTTTTGTGCTTCCTCATAAAGTTGTAAAAATTTAAAGATTAGTCTTTGGGAGTGAGAGTCAAATTTTCTGACATTCACAATTCATAGAAATACAGAGTTAAATGTGGCAAGTGGTTTAGATTTCTGGTACAGGTTGGAGAGATGGAGTTAGAAAGTGGACCATACAGTGAGGTTTAAAAAAAAAACTTAAAAACATGTATATCCTGTTTAAGCACTTTGATTTACAAAATTGCTGTAGAAGACAAAAATTGAAGACCCTGATCAGTAATATTTTCCTACATGACATTTTAAGCTTTATGATATTTCCTGTATCCAATTCCTGTGATATTTCTTTAACACTGAAATAATTTTTTCTGTGCCTGGGGAATCTTTTACACCATAGTTGGGGGTCTGTGAAATACATAAATTTCTTCATTTTCTTTTTTTCCTTTACATTTTTAATCTCTGATGTATATGCAGCATCAATTTTGATAAAGGTATTGTTTTTAAAATATGTATTTTCCTTTTTATTTTAGATTAGACTTTTTTTGATAGGTAGTATAGATTATATTTACCCTTTTAGTATTCAGTTCAGGAGTTAGATGATTAAATACACTTGAAATAAAAACATTTTTTAATCTGGCTGTTTGTCTTATATTTTAGGCCCAAGATAACCAGAATGGATTTTAAGAAGAATAAAATAACCTTAGTGGTTGTAGAAGATGATGATCAGGTAGGAATTTTGTTGTATTAACTGCTTAACAATGTTATAGTAATTAATATCTATTTTATTATTATTATTTTTTTTTGTTGCCAGGGATTGAACCCCGGGGGTCTTTACCACTGAACCACACACCTTATTTTTTTGAGACAGGATCTTGCTTGGGTTCTTGCTAAGACTCTTGCTAAATTGCTGAAGCTGGCTTTGAATTTGTGATCCTCTTGTCTTAGTCTTCCAAGGATTCTAGATGCATGACCTTGGCAACATATCTTTATAAGGGGGGATACCAATCACAACGTGTTTCATTGTTTTACACAGTCATAGAAAAAACTTTGTATAAAAAAGTTCCTGATTTAGGTCATACCATTTTAAAAATTTGGGCTGGGATTGTGGCTCAGCGGTAGAGTGGTTGTCTAGCACAGGCAGGACCCTGGTTCGATTTTCAGCACCACATAAAAATAAAGGCATTGTGTTGTGTCCATCTATATCTAAAATATATGTATTTTATATATAATATAAAATATAAAATTTTATATAATATAAAATATATAGATAGATAGATAGATTTCTGCTATTAAGATTAAAGATAATATAATTAATATAATTAAAGTTTGTTCTTTGTTTCTTCATTTATAATATAAATGAGGTATGCAAAAATATAAATTTAAGCAACCATATCCCCTTCATATCTGATTAAAAAAATTAAAAGATCTACCTAATAATATTCTTCAGGATTTTATCAGTAAAATGTAGATCCTAATCAGTTCAAACATAGATGCATCTCAGATGCATTATGCTAAGTAAAAGAAGTCATATTAAAAAAAAGATTAAGTACTGTTGGGGATACTATAATCTCAGCTGCTTAGGAGGATGAGACAGGATAGTCTAAGTCCCAGGCCAGCTTAGACAACTTATTAAAGACCCTGTCTCAAAATAAAAGAATAGAGCTCAATTGTAGAGTGCTTGCCCAGCACATACAAGGCCCTGGGTTTCATCTCCAGTACTGCAAAAAGTTAAAAACATTATATACTATATGATTTTATTTATGACAGTCTGGGAAGGTCAAGCTTGTAGGAATGGAAAATAGGTCATTGATTACTTGGGATTAAAGGTTGAGAAAGGGGTTGACTACCAAAGATCAGAAGTCTGAGGGATATATTTGGTGGTTGAGGGAACTATTCTATAGCTTTATTTTGCTGTTGGTTATACAACTGTATATTTGTCAAGACTCACAGAATTGTACATCTAAAATTATATGTAAATTAACAAGATATATGAAAAGATACAGATGTAAGCACACTGTGTAAAATGCTAATAGTTGTTGACAGTACATGATATCTCTATGGGTATTCAATTTTTGTATATGTTTGAACATTTTTATGATTAAATGTTGGAGAGATTTTAAGATTTTGTTATGATTTTTCTCTCCTTTCCTAGGTAAATTGTACTTCTTCCATTTAAAATGGTTCCTGTGGGGCTAGAGTTGTGGCTCAGTGGTTGATCGTTTGCCTGGCATGTGTGAGGCCCTAGGTTTGATCCTCAGCACCACATATAAATAAATAAATAAATAAATGAGATCCATTGGCAACTAAAAAATATTAAAAATCAAATACTTCCTATATATTTTTATCATATTTAGACATATATTCACGTTTCCAGTATGTTTATAATTTATGATTTGTTTATTCCTCCTGATTATTATTAGTAATATATTTTGGATGTACCATTGTAAAGTAGGTGAAAGTACAAGGATGGGAGTTTTACCAAAACTTTGCCATTCTTGAATTTTTAAAAGAAATTTCACTTATGATAATGGAATATTACTGTTTTAAACTTGATCTTTTAGTAGTTAATATTTGGTCATACTTATATTTCTTTTTTTGGTCAGCATTTTCTGTTCATTTCTTTTCCTATTTTTCCCCACAAAGGTGCAATATGAAAATGTCATAAATTTCAACATAAATGTTAATAAGTAGAAAGCCAAGATCAGGTGGTATTCTGTATCATGGTAATAATTTACAGATGATTTTCTGTGCTTATTACATAACTAAATATGTTAACTGGAAAAATGGTTAAGACTGTAGCAATTATTTAAAGTTACTACTATATAACTTGGAGTATGGTTTTTTGTCAAATTTTTAATAACGATACTTCACTGGTCACATCTCTCTAATAAGAGCACAAACACCCATGTTGGCAAACAGTCTTTGAGTTTATCATCTGGTCAACATTAATAAATGCTGGGGATGTGGCTCAAGCGGTAGCGTGCTTGCCTGACATGCGTGCGGCCCAGGTTCGATCCTCAGCACCACATACAAACAAAGATGTTGTGTCCGCCAAAAACTAAAAAATAAATATTAAAAAATTCTCTCTCTCTCTTTAAAAAAAAAACATTAATAAAATAAAAGAAGCAGTGGTTTGTTAGAAGCCTGTTATGGTTGTGTTGATTGCTGGTGCTTAATGGGAAGTACTGCTTTTCACTTGGTACGTTTTGGTAGTCTGTTTTGACTGTACAGTTATCCATCTATGAATAAAGGTGATGAGTGCTTATGGTCCTGGCACAGTGTGAGATTTTTTACTTAACAGGATGAATGAAAAAATGTTTATATTCTCCAGCAGATTTGAATGGAGTGGGAGGGAGAAATAAGTAGAGAAGCAATTGCAACAGTTTGGTAAGATAGGAGTGCATAATCTTTGCAAGTGTGCATAGATAATATGGTCATGTGTTCTCATTTTTGTGCACAAAAATGCTATTTAGTGAAGAGAAATAGTAATTGACATGGGAAGCACTTCATGATATAGTAAGTGAATTTTTGGTACATTAATATTTTTATGCCTGGAATTTTTTAAAATGGTAATACTTTGTGTAGAGAAATTTACATGAACTTCAAGTGGGTGGGTATGTTATTGCAAGTCGATTTCAGCTTTGGATGATTTAGATTTTTCTTCATGGTAATGGGGATTGAACTCAGGGATTCTTTGTCAGGTATAGCATACAAGTATCTTCTCTTTAACTTTCTTTTCCTTCTTTTTAAAGTATCTTTTGGGTGAACAGAACTTTATCAATGTAATACAGCTCATAATTTATTTTCCTTTGTGGTTGGTTGGCATTTTTGTGTCTTAGAATTTAAGAATATTTTAATATTTTCCTATAACAAGATGATAAAGAAATTGGCATTGAAAAATAGTTTTAAGTGAGAAAACAGTTTAAATTATAAAATATTTCAAGCAAATTGAAAAATACAAAAATTATAATACCCATTTTTCTCGGGATCTAGGATTATAGCATTTTGATTAAGATCTCTTTTACAAATAGATAAGTAAAGATATATCTGGGTGCAGAGGTACATTGCCTTTAATCCCGGTAATTCAGGAAGTGGAGGTAGGAGGATTGCAAGTTTGAGGCCAGCCTGGACAACTTAGCAAGACCCTGTCTTAAAACAAAAATGGCTGGGAATGTAGTTCGAGAGTGGAGTGCCTCTGGTTTTAATCCACAGTACCGAAAATGAAAAAAGAAAAATTTACATAAACATAAATATACTTACAGCTTGCTTATTTTATTTAAACACTCTGACTGTGTAGATTTAGTTTATTCATTTTAACTAATATACAGTGTTCTGTAATATGAATAAATAATGTTACATTAATCCTTTATCTTTCTGTATAGTTTTAAAATTTTGCCATTATTTACATGATCATTTCTTTATAGTTTTGGACATTGTGGATTTGTGCCAGTGTTTAATTATAGAATCATTTTTCCTAGAGACACAGTATTACTTTGTTGTTAAAATTATAGCTTCTGGAGCAACACTGACTAGATTCAAATTCTAGTTTCCTTTCCTATTTCCTTATATGAAATGAGTCTAATGATATTATTCCTTATTCATGTGAAATCCATAAAAAAAAGTCTGTAAATGTTAGCTATTATAATTTGACTCCTGGGACTATGGTTAGTAGGACAAAAAATGTGAGCCTTTTTAGGGCTATTGACACATTGCCAGATCATATATAGTGCTTTAAATTGTTTTTGTTTGTGATGCTTGGGATCAAATCTAGGGCCCCACACATGACAAGCAAACACTCTACCACCGGGCTTTATACCCAGCTCCTACATTATGATTACCACAAAGAATGGTAGGTGAATTTTGTTTCTCTGACAAATGAGAGTATATAAGTGGAGGGGTTACTCCTAGGAATAATTTTTTTAAAATATTTATTTTTTTGTTGTAGTTGGACATAATACCTTGATTTTATTTATTTATTTTTATGTGGTGCTGAGGATCAAACCCAGGGCCTTGAACATGCGAGGTGAGCGCTCTACCATTGAGCCACAACCCCAGTCCTCCTAGGAATAATTTTATACTAGCTTAGAAAATAGTTTGACTTTTAACTGTGTGTGTGTGTGTGTGTGTGTGTGTGTGTGTGTGTAATAGCTGTAAATAATAAGTTTCTGGCTGGGGTGTAGCTCATGATAGAATTCTTGTCTGGCATATATGAGGCTCTTGGTTCAGTCCCCAGCACTGTCAAAAGAGAGAAAAGTGAATTTCAGGGAATAAACTAGATACTTTATTGCTTCTTTTTTGGTATTGCTGTTATTGTTATTTGTGTCACAGAAATGGGAGACAGGACTATTTGACCTAATGATCACCTTTTTTTTTTTTTTTTTTTTTGTACTAGAGATTGATCCCAGAGATGATTAATATTGAGCTGTGTCCTCAGCCCTTTTTATGTTTCATTTTTGAGACAGAGCCTTGCTGAGTTGTTAGGGCCTTGCTAAGTTGCTGAGACTGGCTTTAAACTTGAAATCCTCCTGCCTCAGCCTCCAGAATCGCTTGGATTTCAGGTATGTACCACCATGTCCAGCTTAATAATCACCTCTTTTTATATTCTTTCTTTCTAGGGCAAAGAGCAGGAACATACATTTGTTTTTAGACTGGATCATCCAAAAGCATGCAAACATTTATGGAAATGTGCTGTGGAACATCATGCCTTCTTCCGCCTCCGAGGCCCTGTCCAAAAAAGTTCTCATCGCTCGGGATTTATTCGACTAGGATCACGTTTTAGATATAGGTCAAGTTTAATTGCTGTTTTCTTTAACATCTATCATCCATTTAAAAAAAATTTAGTAATAGATGAATACAATACCTTTAATTTTATTTATTTTATGTGGTGCTTAGGCTCCAACACAGTGCCTCACACATGCTAGGCAGGCGCTCTACTACTGAGCCACAACCCCAGCCCTCTATCATCCATTTTTTCATCCAAGCCCAGAATATTAGGCCAACCCTCTCCTTTAACAAATGTGGAAACTAAGGCATGGAGAAATAAAGTGGTTTGCCAAATCTTTCCATTGGCTAAAATAAAAAAGAAAATGTATTATTGGTTATGATTTCTTAAATAGATAGAAAATCAGAGTAACTTATGGATTTTATAATCCCTTTTGACCTTTATTTATTATAATAAATAACCCTCTTAAAATTGATTCAATAAGTGTTTTGTGGTTTCTCTGTTCAACAGCTATATGCCATATTGAAAAAAGATTTCACACTGAAGGGGGGTATTAATTTGAATAATATTTCTGTCCTCTATAAACCTGAAATTCTGGGGCTGGGGTTGTGGCTTAGTGGTGAAGCCCTCGCCTAGCATGGCAAGGCCCTGGGTTTAATCCTCAGCACAACATACATACATACATACATACATACATACATAAATAAATGTATTAAAAAACTAATAAAAAATAAATAAAAGTAAACCTGAAATTCCATTACTCTTACAGACCCCTTGTGTGTTTATCGTGAGTTAGAAATATTTTGGTTTACATTACATTAGATTATTAGTTTCTTTGTTTTTTTTAAATATCTTTTTAGTTATACATGGACACAATATCTTTATTTTGTTTATTTATTTTTATGTGGTACTGAGGATCGAACTCAGGGTCTCTCATGTGCAAGGCGAGCGCTCTACCACTGAGCCGCAACCTCAGCCCCTCTTTGGTTTTTAACATGCTATGTGAATCAATATGATTTGAAGGAAGAATGGATAGTACCAGTAGTCAACCATGGGGAATTTATTTAACAGAGTGGGAAGGCATTTTCTTAACAGAATTTAAGTGCAAATCAAAGAAGCAGGTAATATTTTTAAAAATGTTTCTGGAAAATTAATTCTGAAAAGTATATCACAATTAACAAAAAGTAAGTGAAAATCTTATTAATTATACACTTTGAGGTATTTGGCTAGGAAGAGATTCCAAACTCTGTAAGAGCATAGACATTCTGAAGTAGTTTTTTTTATGTTTTTAGATAATATTTATACTTGAGGAGAAAAAAACAGTATAATTAATCTGTTACATATTCTCAAAAGCCTAAAGAGTGAAAGATGATGTGGTTAAGAGGGAAATCAAAACTAATAGTAGTAGTTCCTTCAGGATGATGATCAGGATACTTCTTTTAAGGAGAATCTGAATGTAGACTTTCTCGTATTTATTAAGATTGTAGGCCTTAAATTCTTATTTTTGTTGATGTGCCTTTATTTATTTTAGTGGGAAAACTGAGTACCAGACCACAAAAACCAGTAAAGCAAGAAGATCGACGTCCTTTGAAAGAAGGCCTAGCAAACGATATTCTCGACGAACATTGCCTATGAAAGGTGAAGTGCAACCCGGTTTCAAAGGACTGTTCTTTCTTGATAATAAGTCATATTCTGGTATTGTTTACTTGGGAGGGAAACCCTGACTCTTTTTAGGGCTATTCTAACCCACTGAAGTACTCTTTTAGTGCAATAAGTTTCATAAGCTTACATGGGGGAAATTGCCTATACCTATAGCTGAGATTAAACTTGATATTAATTCCAATTCAGCTGATATTTCTGAGATTGTGTTCAGTTTAAGTTATTTTATATTGTATTGTAATATTACTAAAATTCTGTTAAATACAGTTTTTAATTTTAAAATATCATTTGTAGATATTTCCAAATTCATAAATGTTATTTGCTGTTTGCTAAGTTGCACTTATAGAAGTAAAAGCATGGTTTACTCTGATAAATAAAGCTTGTATTTTGTTTTCAATTCTGAATTTGTTAAAATACAGGTTGAATTTTAATTATGTCCAATGTCAGGGTCTTTACTAATTGACCCAGACACTGCCATGATGTGATATTTGGGAGTATTAATTTAAAAAAATAATAATTTAAAAAATTTATTCTTTTTAGATATACATGACAGAGTGTATTTTGTTGTATTACACATACATGAAGTATAACTTATTCTAATTAGGGTTCCATTCTTGTGGTTGTACATGGTGTGGGGTTTCACTAGTTGTGTATTTGTATATATACTTAATAAGAAAATTATATCTGATTTATTCTACTGTCTTTCCTGTTCCCATCCCACTCTCTTCCCTTCATTCCCCTTTGTCTAATCCTTTTTCTTTGGCCCCCCTTACTGTGTGTGAGCATCCACATATCAGAACATTTGGCCTTTGGTTTTTTGGGATTGGCTTATTTCATTTAGCATGCCATAACTTATTCATTCATTTGTTGAAGGGCACCTTGGTTGATTTCATGGCTTACCTATTATGAATTGAGTTGCTATAAACATTGATGTGGCTGTGTCACTGAAGTATACTGATGTTAAGTCCTTTGGCTATATACTGAGGAATGGGATAGCTGGGAATGGTTCCATTCCAAGTTTTCTGAAGAATTTCTTGGCAATATTAATTTAAAAAAAAAACAAACTGATTTATATCCATAATTGTTGGTGTGACTATAAATCAATAGTATATGACTAGAAATGAAACCATTTCAGTTGGCAGTAATTTAAAATCCTCAAGTAACCTCTTGGTTTCCTCTCTGAGGTTCAAAATCAGCTCACTCTATGAGACTTGCAGATGATTTTTTTTTAAAGTTATATATACTTATTGCTTTATTTAAAAAATGGGAATAATTGCCAGGCACAGTGGTGCACGCCTGTAATCCCATAGGCTTATGAGGCTGAGACAGGAGAATGACGAGTTCAAAGCCAGTCTCAGCAAAGTGAGGCACTAAGCAACTCGGTGAGACCTTGCCTCTAAATAAAATACAAAATAAGGCTAGGAATGGGGCTCAGTGGTCAGGTCCCCTGAGTTCAATCCCCTGTACCAAAAAAAAGAAAAAGAAGTAATTGCCACTTTGACTTTACTAGTATTAATTCCAGAACACTTTTTGTATGAAGTTTTGAAAACTGTTAACAAGTCAAATGTTATAAGTCAAAGTTCTATTTTGAATAATGAAGCAATTTACTTTGTAAGATTGAACTAATGAGATATTTTCTTTTTTCTTCTGACAGCAAGTACAGCAAAATCTGAAGAATTCAGGTGAGTAATGTTTTACTACTTAGAAATTGATATATAATGTTTTGGTAATTTAGTTTGTTACTGTTTTTTAGTTTTCGGTGGTCACAACATCTTTATTTTTATGTGGTGCTGAGGATAGAACCCAGCGCCCTTCGCATGCCAGGCAAGCGAGTTACTGCTTGAGCCACATCCCCACCCAGCCCACTGTTATTAAGCTTTTGTTGAAGACTTTTTGAAGTGTCAGAGTTGTCCATAGGCATTGGGGGAAGGAGTAGGGAACATATAAAACGATAATGCCAGATAAAATTGATATGAAGAAAAATAAACAAGTTTAAAGAAATAGAGCTGGGAGTAGGTATGCTTTTTTTAATGAGAAAATGACATTTGTTATTGGCAAGTCACTGAGGATTTAAAGATAGACTATTTTTATATGCAAGGAGCTCAAAGAACAAAGGTTGATTTGCAAATATTTTTACATGCAAGGAGCTCAAAGAACAAAGGTTGATTTGCAAATAAAGCAATTTTATTGTTAGGATGGATTCCACTTGATTATATAATCCTTTCTTTTACATTGCTGAATTTGGATTGCTAATATTTTGTTGATCCATGTGTCTACATTCATCAGAGATCATCTGAACTTTGTTAATTTTAATTGTGTATATTATAGTATATATTCTCATAGAATGCTTTTCAAAACTGATTATTTACTTGAAAATTCTGGAATACCCGTTGAAAGAGTCATAGTGAGACCATATCCACAAATCTAGGTTCTTTTTGAATTTATACTAGAACTTCTCCAAAAGAAGTTGGTTGGTTTTGTGTTCTTGAGCGCGGTCAGTCTCACCTTGAATTTTTATGTTCAGTTTTTTTCACCTGGAAAGCTATTAAAACCAGGCTGTGATGACCAATTCATTATAAAAGCACTCTGCTTGTTCGAGCAAGGACTCTTATGGAGTTTCTTCAGCTGCTAGGCTGTTGAAACTAAATAAATAAATAGAGCCAGGAGGAAGCAGGGAATTCTGTTGTAAGAATTTATTTATGTAACAAGAAAACAAAACAGAATTTGTGCCTTTTCTGGACTATACACTTCTCTTTCCTTAAAGTTATTTACAAATAGCACTTTTAATAAAAAGGGGGAAAGAGATTAGAGGTGTTTTGCATTTTTTAAAACACATTTGTTTAATGAACTGTCTCTTAAAAGGAAGACTGGGACAGAATATTAAAGAATATCTAGTGAAGTTAGTAGAAATGTAAACATAGTATTTAAGCAGTCATATTATGTAGAAAACTTAAGGCTTTTATTTGCAAAATAAGAGATTTTCCCCAAAAGATGTTCTGAAATATACATTTTTCAACAAAAAGTGAGCATCTTTTCTATAATTAAAATTATAGTCTTTTCTATAATTAAAATTAATTTAAATGTTAAATTATTGCTAAATATTATTTCTTCATTAATGATGTTTTTAGCACTGGGAACAACAGAAATGGGATATTTGAGTGATTATGATACTCTCATTATTTTTTTTCAGTAGAGTTCTAGAAATAAGAGGGAGGCCCGACACTCTTGAAGGTTGTTTAGCACCACTCATCACAGTGCTTGAGAGGATCTGAGCTTGCGCTTGCATGCATGCCCTTTCACTCCTGCCCTTGCTGTTCTGTTTGCATGAACAGTTTTGCTCCAGTGAACCATGGAAAACAATAGCTTTTGAAAGAGCACAACTATTTGACCTAAAATATTTCTTCACCTTGTACTCTGCAGTTTTATCTAAATTGGCTGATATTGGTAATTTTCCTTATCCTATTCCTAACTACTCATTTGTGTGTCTTAACTAATATTAAATATATTTAGAAGAGGTGACATTTTAAAGGACATTTTACATTTTGTTTATTAGTACTTTTGCTTCCCTTTTACTATTCCCTCCCTCCTTGTAATCCTTTAATAAGGGTAGCTAAGACTAGGTATAATAAGTAATTCTTTAATATTCCTAAAAGTAAAATAACCTATATAAATAAGAGAAAGTCATGCTTTCTACATTCCATATTATTTAGAAATAGGAAGATATGATTCAGTTAACATCACTTATTATAAGTACTATTTTCTCATGTTATTCATCTTTATTGCTTACTGAAGTTATTCCCAGTTAAAGGAAAACTTCATAGAGGAACAAAGGGACCTCAGTTAGTAGTGAACTAACTCTTTACTAAGAAGACTGGATAAGATTTCATTAATGTTTGGGATCATGAATTACTTAAACTAGCATAATGTATTCTGTAAACAACATGGTTTGTACTTATGCCTGGTAACTATATTCTTTATACAATTGCCTTGGCAATGTTATCTACACTAAACAGTTTCTTTTTAATAATGTTTTAATTTTATTCAACAATATTAAAACACAAAATGAATAATTTTATGATGTAGAAAAATTAGATCCTTTGTTCCATTACACAAATTAAATACTATATATATTTAAAATTCAATCAAGTCATTTTGAATAAAACAAGATGTTTTGCAAAACCTATTAAGATGGTGTTAATGGCAAAACATAAATTTCATCACCTATTACGTAGACTAATGGGCTGATTCTGCACAAATTTCATAAAACTGAATACTTCAAATAGTATGAATAAAAACAATAATAAACTTTTGACTAATAAATTAGATGGGGAGGAGAAACGAATTAGGCTTTCTTAAGAGATTTTTTTTTAAAAAACTAAGCTGTTTTATAATCTGTGAAGACAAAGAATTGAGAAGCTGGATGACTTTAAAGTAAAGAAATTAGGACAATGAAATGCTAATTACTGGGCTGGCTTTGTGGCAGAGCACTTGCCTAGCATGTCTGAGGCACTGGGTTCGATTCTCAGCACCACATATAAATAAATGAACAAAATAGTTGTTTATTAATAATTGAGAAAAAGAAAAGCTAATTACTCTGATTTGATTAGGGTACCATGTATGCCTATGTTAGAAGTAGGATTATTATTGGTATGTGTGTATTTTGCTTAGGATTTAACTCGGGGCCTTGTACATACTAGGCAAACCTTTACTACCAAGCCCCATCTCAAGCCCCAATACTTTGGGTTTGATCATAAATATCAGTAATGCAAATTCTGGTAATTCAACTTGAAATTAAAGTGTAGTTTAGTAAAAAAATAAGATATAAATAGGTTCATTTCTGAGTTTTTTCTTTTTTAATTTATTCCCTACATGACAATAGTGGAGTGTGATACATTCATAATTATCCATTTACAGCATAATTTTTTGTATATAAAGTATGTTCAAGCCAAATTATGCCATTATTCATGAGCTCTCTTACTTTTTTTTGCATACAATTCTTAATACACCTTTATACCACAATTTATCATATCTCTGTATGTAAGGTATGTTGACACCAAATTCACAGCTTTATACATGTATTTTATATAATTATCATTCCTCATTACCTAGTCTTTTAGCAAGCTTTTATCTTGAGTTCCTTCTTAATTGGCTGGGTTTTATATTTAGGCAATTTTGGATTTTCTCTCACCCTCTAAGAAGGTGTTTTTGAATGCTGTATTCATGTGATTTTTTTTCCCCATTTGAGATTTGCATATTTTCCATTATTAAAATGATGTCTTGGTTAGGTAAATTTCTTGAGTATTGCTATGGAGGAATTTATGCCAACCTGACACTAGAATTTAATTTGCCTTTAAATCCCTTTTGGATACATGAAGTTTTCTTATTGTTGAAGGTGTAATTTTACAGTGGATATGATTATTATTTTCCTGGAACACATTGGTCTCATTAAATATGTAGATTATTTTCTCATTTTCAAGGAATGTCCTTTTTATAACTTTGAATGTGTTTTCTTTTTTATTGAATTCTTCACAGATACTAATTGTTAGAATGTCTGAAGTCAGCGACTTTTTTTTTTAATGTTGTGGTAATAGCACATCCTTATGTTGAATGTTTTGTTTTTTCTGTAGTTTCTGTTTATTTTGTCATTACTGGTTGAGGTTTAAAGATATTTTTTTGTGAGGGCAAGGAATGAGTACAGACTAAACTAAAAATTTTAGAACATTTATAAATCATTTAAAGAGGTGTATATACACAAAAGTTTTTGACTTTAACCCATTGTGTTCCATTGTTCCATGTATTAGACAACAATTTTATAGGACATCTTTAAAATTGCTTAATTTAAGTTTTTATAGGTGTCATGTATAGGACAATGGGCTATAATAGGTTAAGTTTATACTAAGGCCTTGAGAGTTATACAAGCTGAGCTGTTTACTGGAAAATATTGAGCTGGTATGAATATACAAAAGAAGTGACAAATAAGCTTATATGGCTATTTTTGCTGGTTGCTTTGAATGTAAGGAGTCATTTGTGGTATTCTCTTTGTTTTGCCATCTTTGTCTAATCAGTAAACAGGATTAATAGTAAGTAAATGTGTCTAAAAAACACTTGAATTATAATATATATGGAAGGATCAATTGAGCAGCCTATATAGAAAAGCAAGTGTTTGCCTGTAAATGTTTTCTGGCCATCTGACATTCTTAATTTTAGATACCAGCAGTAGATTTTTTTAAAGGCAAGCACTCTATCAACTGAACTGTATCCCCATCCTGATTTTTTTTTTTTATTATTTGAACCAGAACATTGATGTCTTAGGCTCTCCTTTCATTAATATATATGTATAATCTTAGAAAATAAAGCCCTAGAATTTTAAGTATAGTTTTTTAAATAGATTTTTTTCTCCCATTACAGTGTTCACAATAATGTTTCTACCCAGAGTAATGATTCCCAACAGGTAAGACAATATTAAGTTTCTAAAATATTAGAACAGTTTACTTAAGTAAATTATAGTATTATTAACTGGATTTTTATAGTGTACAACTGTGTGCAAGTTTTGTGCATTTTCTTGTCCTTGTCTCTTAAGTAGCTCAGTAATGTCTATCCCCCTGTTATTTTGCTCTTAAGATATTGTAAATAAAACAGATGACCTATAAAACATTTTGTCGCTATAAGTCCTAGAGAATGAATAAAATATTAGTATTCAGTTAAATTATTATCTCTCTAAGGTAGTATATAATATCCAACCATTTGCTTATATTGCATTTATTTGCACTCTATATATAGTATTCTGTTTTAGTATTCTATTTATTGATGCAGAAAAATAAATTATTTTTATAATTTTTGTCCAAAGACTTGGGGTCTAAGATCTACTGCGTCTGTGATTCCTTCCACATCCTCTGGTCCCGTGCTGGTGGAGATAGAAAATCTTCCAAAGAATTCTGGAACAGATCAGCATGACAAGAAATGGTTTGTTAAATCCTTAATCAAAATTGTTGCTTGTTTAATTGTATTCTCAATTTTAAGGTTTGTGAGTATGACTGAAAGCAAATTATTCATATTTGTGCGCTGAAAAAAGTATCATATTGAGCAATCATATAAATGGGGAAAATATGTATATGGGTAAAGAAGGGAGCAGTTGTCTCAAGAACATAAGATGACTGTCTTTGTTTTGATTAGCATGATCTGGGAATGATGGGTGGTTTTCTGTTGAAAGACTTCTTGCTAGTCAGTAGAAACCTTTCCCAGATCCATAAAGAAAATATTTGTTATTCCATACAACATGCTATTTCTACTTAGGATATGTTTTCTTCATTAAAAACTGAACATAAAGCCAAAGAGAAATATGATTTAAAGTGTAATAAAATAAAACATTAGTATTTCATTTTTTGGAAATGAGAAGGAATCTGTCAAAAGTAAGGATATTTTGTTCATTTACATTTCCAGATTAATATTAAGTACACAAATATGGATACTTTGTGGTTTGTTGGAGTTAATCAGTTGGGTTTACTCTTTAGCTGGATAAATGGGGCTTGGGAAGGCGGGTCACTTTGGGAATTATTTGATTGAGTGGTCATGTTGGTTGTATCATCTATTCACGTTTCGTGTTTAATAGTTGAACTTTGATAATTCATAGGATTTTTCTCTTTTGCTCTTAGTTTTCTTAGTACCTGAAATCTAATGAGTTTCTGTGGTGATCTCAAGGTTTTGGTCCGCTTTCTGTGCAAGCAGTTCTTCCTTCATGGTGGTGGGTCAACAGTGTTTGGTGATTATTTTCTGTCTTTGCTATTTAATTTTCCCCTTTATGGTCATTTTGGCTTCACTAACTGCAGGATACTTTCCTCTTGATGGTTGGGCATATTTTTACTTTGGTTCCAAATAACTTTGCAATTAAGATTGAAAGAATTTTTCATTTGTATAAAAATTTTCTTTTAACTTGGGAATATGGTAGAGGTATTTTGTGTGCAAGTAGGCACATACTTAAAAGTAAAGAAGGAAGCCTGTAAATGTTGAATTTTAGTTTTTATTTTTTTTAAGCCATTAAGAAAAGTTTCATTAATTTCTTTATACTTTCTTACTGTTATTTACCATTAAGTCCTGTTGGCAAGGAAAATAGTATTGAGACTTCAGCTGTGAAAGAACCATCTTAATAAGTGCTTACCTTCTATATTAATATGGAAGGAGAATCTGGTTACTTTGTAACCTGTGTAACACAGAATCAATAGTTTTCCATTTTAATGGGTACACATTTAAATTTGTTTGATTTGTTAGGCACTACCCGTTCCTTTGATGTAGCCCCTAGAAAGAGTATTGATTTTGTGTGAGTTTCCAGAAAAATGAAAAATTTGGAGATTCGTGGCTTCCTTCCTTAATCTGCTTGTACTGAGATTCCTTTGCTGAAATGAAGTAAAGTAGTGATCATTAATACCCATTGAGCCTCTGTGTGTCAGCAGTGCATGGAACTGAATATAGAGCTCATACAGACATGTCTTAGAGCTAATAGATTCTCCAACCTTAATTTAAAATGCATGCTGCATTTCATTCTTTGTTTCTGCATATTTTTAACCAATTTAATCTATTCTAAAAGAATAAAAGAGTCCTCCTTTAGAAAGTATTAATAAAACTTGGAAATTCTCCATGGGTTTGAAAAGTTGGTCAGAATAATGGAGCATATTAGTTTTTGTTGTTTTTGGTATTGAGGTTTGAACCCAGAGACACTCCACCACTGAGATACATTCCCAACCCCCCCTTTTTTAATATTTTTTTTTTAGTTGGACATAATACCTTTGCTTTTATTTATTTATTTTTATGTGGTGCTGAGGATCGAACCCAGGGCCTCACACACACAGTACCGCTGATCCAAAACCCCAGCCCCCCCTTTTTTATATACATATATTTTAGTTTTATATGGACACAATATCTTTATTTTTATGTGGGTGCTGAGGATTGAACCAAGTGCCTCACACACTTGAGGCAAGCACTCTACCACTGAGCCCCAGCACCATCCCTAACCCTTTTTATTTTGAGACTTATTAAGTTACCAAGGCTGGCCTTGAACTTAAATTCCTCCTGCTTTAGCCTCCAAAGTCTCAGGGATTACGGGCATATACCACCATGCTAGGCTCATGAGCACCTTATTTTTGGCAGATAACTTTTAGTCAACTTAATCTAGTTCCTTTTCTTATCTTCAGCTTTTTCTTTTCTTTTTGGTATAGGAAATTGAACCCAGGGGCACTCAATCACTGAGCAACATCCCGGGCCTTTTTTGTATTTTGTTTAGAGATAGGGTCTTACTGAGTTGTTTAGGTCCTTTCTAAATTGATGAGGCTGACTTTGAACTCACAGACCTCCTGTCTCAGCCCCCACAGCAGCTGGGAGTATAGGTATGCACCACCACGCCCAGCTATGAATTCAGCTTTTTCTTGCTGATATATTTTAAATGACCCATTAATTGGGCCAAAGCTTTGATGTATCAGTAATTTAGAATTTATCAAATAGTATGTCAAATTTTGAGAAATAATCCATGCAATTTAAATACATAAATCATTTGCAAACAACGAAAACAAAACAATACTATTTAGAAAATCTGGCATAAATCTCATTTAATTTTCTTAATTTTTAGAGACCCTAAGTTGAGTTTTTTGAATTTTGTGGATTAGATCTGATAAACAGATCATTTTGGTTGAAGGAAGGAAGATGATTTTATTGTCTTTCACATCCTTTTTAGTTTCCCTAAAGCAAAAAAAAGATTAAAGATTAGTGTTTTGGTTGAGTTATAAAGATAACACTACATTTTACAATCTATTTTTTAGATAGCTCAGATTTGGGATACTTTTTTTTTTTTCTTTTGCAGTTATTTGAAATATATGTTGCCCTTTTTGCCATATCACACAATTTTGGTTTGCTGAACCTTTGCAAGTGTTTTCTATCAGAGGACTCACTTTTAGCACTTTTAACTGGGAATTACATGTATGCATGTTTCACTCTTCTAGTTCTATAGGGCTGTGATGAAAGACATCTAATAAGCTTATTAAACGTTTGTTTTTTGAAAAAATACTTTTTTGGAGACTTACAATCTTACATGTTATCTGTACCTGTTGATTTTCATTTTGAGATCCTGTTGTCCTATGAACTTTTTCTACAGTTAGAAGGATCAGCAGTTCTCTATTATTAGGGAACATTGATGTAAAAATCATGTGAACTCTGAGGGCAGATTTTTCTTTAATTCGGTTTCTGAAATTTTGTTTTTCAAATTTTAATTTTGTGAAATCATATAATTTGGGGAATAATTTTCAATAATTGCCCTATTTCATATATGCCTTTGTTTTTATGTAAAATTCTTCTTTCAAGTATTTCAATTAAGTAGATTATGAATATTTTTTCTCCTCTTTAGAATCCCAAACAACATTTCTGCATTTTATTTTCATAACATCAGGCACAGATACAGGGTGTCTTGCTGTGAATTTTCTTCTCTAATTAATTCACTTAGCTGATTCTCATTACTTTTCTGTATTGACGCTTTCTCTTACCGAGTAACTTTGTTGATTTCCCCTTTGTTATTCTTGATTGTTATCATTGCATGGAGTAGATGTTGGTAATAACTCATACCAGTGGTGCATGCTGTTCACATTGCCTTTCTCCTTTATTACCTCTTAACACATCCATTTTCTCCTATTCCTATTGACTAACTGTGCTCCCCTCCAACTCCCCAACCATCCAGGCTGTCTGCGGCCAGTGACTGCTGTCAACGTGGTGGAAACCAGTGGAACACAAGGCCTTTGCCCCCACCCCAGAACGCACATAGAAACTACACTGACTTTGTTCATGAGCACAATGTGAAGAATGCAGGAGCCCATCATGATGTTCATTTTCCTGGTTATGCAGCCATGACCGAGATATGAGTGTTAAGCCTCTTAGGCATTGGGACTCTTTGTCATCCAAGTTGATGGTATACATTTCCTGGTGTTTATAAAGGATTGATCACATTGGGCATATTTGGAAGAATTTATTTTATACTGAGTCACTAGTTGTATAGTGCTATTTGTGATTGAATTCTTCTGTAGAAGGGAAGAGGATCTGAAGAAGCTGTATGCCATCAATGATAATGACAAACATTGTCGTGTTGAAAAGAATGTATATCACTGTGACTTTGGAAGGGGTTTTTATGATTTTAGCTTGTTAATACATCATTCAAAGTATCTGTCAGGAGAAGGTTTATGTTCGTGTTTGTGACAGACTGCCAGTTGTCACCTCACCACATAATGTCCAAATAAATTGAAATTTAAAGAATCAGACACACTAAAAGCACACCCAGAAGGAAGCATGTTCAGTAATTATGTATAAGCCTTTCATGATATTTATATAATGTTCTCATATACTATTTTGCTTTCAAAAATGTCCCATGCCTTAATTTTATTTACATGCTTAAAATTTTAATTAATAAAATTATTAATGCAGTTTTACTTTTCAATAAACACAAATATTTCAAGTTATCACAGGTCTAGAAATCATATAAATAGTGGATTCACATAGATAAATCCAGATGGTAACTTTGAACAGTTAAAAACCATGTTTAAATGAATAGTTTCATTACTATTAAATGGTTGTACAAAATGGAAAATATACTTTTGTCTTTTCACTTTTCTTTTTCATCTCCTTTGCCTGACAGGTTTGCAACAATTTCAGAATCTGACCTTGTACAACCTTTAAAATAAAATTCTAAAGTCAAAACAATGTTTTTGGATGGATTGGATATGTATTACTATTTCTGATCCATTTTTGAACTTTGGGATGTGATTAAGATTTTTTATTTAGTGCATAGAGGCAAATTAGCTGGAAAAAGTACATTTCTGACGGAATGAGAAGTGATTAGGAGAGAAACATTTCTTTTACAATTTTTTTTCAAGTTTTATAAATATTTCCTAACTTTTAAATTGTGTAAATAGAAATTTGAGGGTACTTTATATTGA